AGAAAAAAGAGGAACAATTGTAATAATTTGAACAATAAAGACTTATTAAAAAAAAATACAGAAAGTGCTCCAACCTGAACACAAACAAACAAACAAACAAACAAAATATTCATGTGCTTTGAAAGGCAAAACAGGAATCAGAATATTTAAATTTAAGGAGATAGCTTTTGTTCAATATATGGACAAACTTTTTTTTTTTTAATGAACTTTTTGTTTTTTGTTTTAATATATTTTATTGATTTTGTACAGAGAGGAAGGGAGAGAGATAGAGAGCTAGATACATCAATGAGAGAGAGTCATCGATCAGCTGCCTCTTGCACACCCCTTACTGGGGATATGCCCGCAACCAAGGTACATGCCCTTGATCGGAATCAAACCTGGGTCCCTTCAGTCCCCAAGCCGACGCTCTATCCATTGAGCAAAACCGGTTTCGGCGTTTATATGGACAAACTTCTAAGTAAGACACCAAAGTGTACAAAATAACCTGATTAAGTAAGCTGTTGAATTTGCCCTCATTAGAGGCAGAGGTCAGAAACTGACTGGGATAGGAATTGAGATGAAATAATCTAAGATATTACTAGTCCAATTCTTATACAAGGAAAATTATCATGCAGTACACCAGCAACTGGAATAACTGATAGCTTAGGATGCTTTAGGTCATATTCCTGTAGCTGGAGCAGATCAACTAAAATGATCAAAGTGCAGGTGGGGAGGGTGACAGGCAGTTAGGAAAAAATAAACTATTTAAAAATTCAGTTTTAGAAGATAAGAGTCTAGATTGCCAAAATGTATATTTTGTTAAAAACAACAACAACAACAACAACAAAAATACTTTAACAAACCCAAACACCTATTTTAAAAGATACTCCTCGCCCTAACGGGTTTGGCTCAGAGGATAGAGCATCAGCCTGCAGACTGAAAGGTCCCAAATTCGATTCCGGTTAAGGGAATGTACCTTGGTTGTGGGCACATCCCCAGTGGGAGTTGTGGAGGAGGCCGCTGATTGATGTTTCTCTCTCATCAATGTTTCTAACTCTCTATCCTTCTCCCTTACTCTCTGTAAAAAAATCAATAAAATATATTTAAAATAAAAAGATACCTCTCAATTATAATTTCTTTGAGCAGCATACAGGAAGAAGCTTAATACAAGAAAAAAGTTAACTTTGAAGAAATAAATATAAAATGAAATGATCAAAACAGTATTAAAGTATGACCATCTATCTAATCAGTAAGCTTGAATTGATAGCTTAGATTGAGTTTTTTTGAACATTTATCAGTCACACAGAAATCCAATTTGAAAATAGAAGTTTGGCAACTCATTTAATGCAAAACATGACTGAACCTCAATTCACTGCCTGCAAATGATTTGAACATGAGATTTTTTATGGTCAAACATTCAGCTAGGTATGACTACTCTTGTATATACCTGTAAAATTGTAGATTGTTAATGTATTTTACTAAGGGTTCTAGTTAAGATTGTTGAAGATGCAATTCTGAATTTTGAAACACATTTAGATAAGGATTAAAGTCTTGTGAATTTATAAAATCCAACAAGAAAGTATTCAGTGCTCAAATCTAGAGTTCCTTTTCTATAGTAAAATTAAAATTTTGTTACAAACTCAAGTAAATTGCATTAAGTAAACTATACATATTGAGATTTAGAATATAATATTCTAGTTATAAATTTCCTTTTCACTTATGAAAATAAAGTCTTTAGTGCAGAAATGTAAGCTTAGAAAACTGATTTCGTTTGCTGATGAAATTTCAGTGGGAGTTAGGAATTCAAATCCTGAACATATAATGGTGGTTTAAAAATCACTTTTCAGTTTTTAGTCTTTTTGAATTATATAAAGTCCTTTCTAATTATGATAAAAGGTGTTAATTGACATGTGGTATCTCCCAAATGCAAATAAATGCAAAAAATACTTAGTCACTGAACAAAAGCTACATTTCAAAGGTGCTTTTATCAGTTAAAAGAATATAATTTGAGAACTGTTTAAATCACATATTAAAAGATTATTAAAAATGCAATTTTTCTGTAAGTGCTAAAATCTAGACTTGAGAATTATAAATACACATATAGTAAGCCTTTCCAAGTCCCTGAACATTGTCATTCTGCAGTATAGCATCCAAAGGACAAAGCACTGCAACATCTGACTAACCAAATTACCCATTTAGCCACACAACTTTGCAAGAAGGTCAAGACTAGGAAGCAAAAAAGATTCTGGACAATTGAAAGAGAGACTATAAAAGTTAGTGTGCTAAACCTCATTCCCTTTACTAAAAATAATGGGCTCCTGATATCCTCATTTAGAATTTCCTACTTGAAAATGATATTAAGCCCTTATAGATGATTATTTAGAAAAGGGAAAACTCAGTCCAGAGGGCATCTCTATGCCACAGCACACATTAGTTGACATTTAAAACAATGATAGAAGAATAAAAAATGCCTAAATCAAAATCCACCAAATTGGCTTGAACAGCAGGCCAAGTATAATCAACTGACTTTGTATATATAATGGTAAGTTCAAATGCTGGTAAAGTAAAAGTTAACTCTTAAAAATCCTCTAGAGTGCATCATGTGATAGAGACCCATTTCTTTCAATAAGCCCAACATAGCCAGTTATTCTTCTGATACCAGACTAGATCCATGTTTATGTGGTTGAGTACCAGATGAAGTAGCATTTGTGGGCCATATTATATGAAACACACACACACACACACACACACACACACACACAAAAAAAAAAAAAAAAAAAATCCATAAAAATCCATGAAAATTTAAAACTATAATTATACTGCTTGAGGTGATATGATTAACCCATGAATGAAGCATCAACGCAGGCACTCATGCTATCAGGAGAAAATCAAGATTCACTTCTCCCATTCCTGTAATGGCCACTCGAGCAAATACATTCTTTTAGTAGAATTATATTCAGAATCCTGTATAACATTTGAACTGCTAAATCTTTTTTTTTTTTTTTTCCCCCCAGGGGCCTATAGTTGAATTCACTTAAATGTAAGTTTGATGGAACTCCACTGTAATGCACTTTTATAGAGCATAAAGAGAAAAGCATTAGGTTACTGGAAAAGTCACATATATGAAAGAACAAAGTGATACTCTATAGCAATCTGCAGGTTTCTATTGTCCAAGCATAAAGAAGCTCTAGTAAAATTGAAGGGAAAACTAAAAAGAATTACACTCAACAAAAAAACCTGATAAACCCATTATTAAAAAGGCATGTCACATGTATAAAGGAAGGAAATAATTAAAAAGAAAATCAGAATTTACTAAAGATTTTTTTCACCTAAACTTTTGGTAATACTTCTTGCTCAATGTTCACCTTTTAATATTCTTTGGGCAACACAAATTTTACAGTACCAATGCTTACTAAAGTTGTATAGCAAAACAATTTATATTAAAAAGAATCTAAGGATGGTTTCACAATTCAACTTCTCTATTCTAAGAGATGGAAAAGATGGGCATTGATGGAATATGCCAATTTTCAATAAGAACTGTCAAAGAATTTTACATAGCTTAAAAATCTTTATCTGGGAAGATATATTAAAAGTTTATACATTAAGAATTTCTATACCCACACTATAAATAAGTCTTCAATTTTAAGACTATAAAAGAAGAAATTGACTCTTCATAATACAGACTGAAATGAATGGGATTATAGGTAATCTGTTAAACCTCAGAACATTTTTATTATCTTCTAGTTAATTTCTGAAAAGATTATTTTTCTTATGAGCTGAAAAAACTTCCATTTCATACAACTACTTTTTTCCCCAACCACAAAGTAAATTATTTATAAAATCTTTTCTGGAGATCTTTAAGAATAAACACATTTTCATATTTATTAGAAGGTTTTATGATATCCTTACCACATGATTAGGGGAACAAAATAAATATCTTTATAGTCCTTTCTAAAACTGTATTTAAGTTATTTTCACAAAAATTTGTAGTAACATAATTTTAACCAGTTAACTACTACGTATCCAAAATGGAAACCATCCCCACACGCCACAATATTTTGAATTTAATTTAAAATAATAAATTTGCAGTGAATATTATAAAAATAAACATATTACTCACAAATCTGGTGTTCTTGAATATTTTCAGCTGAAAATTCTCACGTAAAATGATTTTAAAGTTTGTCAGGGCTGCCACTTAGAGAAAACATTTTTTTATAGACATGCCTGGCGTGTGGGGTAGGTACCCCCACTTTTGTCTACAGACACTTATGGCATACAATGGGTTAACAGTGAATTTCTATAATCTACATGCCTCAAAAAACATTTATTACTTTCAAATAGAAAGCTAAATTTTAGAAATATTTTAGGTAGACAGCATTTATTTTAGACACATTTCACAAAGTAGCCATAATGCTACAGTAGATATTATCTAAAAATGTTTCTGAAATTATTAAAATAATCTTTTAAATATTGTTTTGTGAAAAATTACTTTCTTATAAATTACTCTGAATTACTGTGACAGATAAAACTTTACATATCGATCAATTTGCTGGTCTACTTTTAAGCAGTCTAAGTGAAAGACTATAGAAATGAGCAATAATTTATGGTCCATTTTTTTTCATATTATTTTGAAAATATAATTGCTCAATCTTGTGGTTTCCAGGAAAACAAATTTTATACATTAAATACAGGATGGGGAAAAAGTAGGTGTACAGTTGTGGATATGCAAAACACTTGAGTTTATTCATGTATTATTATTTCATTATTATATTATTTTCCATATGAACAACTGTAAACCTACTTTTGTCCAACCTGTAGTGATAAACCACCACTTTGGATGTGGTTTTGTTTAAATGAAATCATATGTACAAACAGGATTCAAATAAATACTTAAACCTTGGTCTTTCTTTTTCTTAACTATTTTGAGAAAAGGACTTTTAGTCATTAATATAAGTCACATATTCAAAAAATTGATAAGACTGACATTGTCACAGAAATGACATTATAACATATAAACATACCAAAGTGTGCTGAACCACTGCTACTTTTACTTTGTGTAGAGGTACTGCATGTCTGGGTCCCAGGTTGTGCTGTTCCTGTTCGAGTTAAACTCCTATATAATTTTCTACAGGAGAGTTCATCATTGTCACTGTCATGTAGGAATGGTGTCCGAGGCCTAAAATGCCGCCATCTACATGACTTGATATTGACTAGTATCTGATTGAGGTCTTTAGAGAAAGATTTGTCCGAGGTATTTGTTTCTGAGGTAATGGCAGACTGATTGACTGGAGAATGTTGTGGTGAGGAAAGCATTTCCAAATCCAGATGGCGAAACATACTGTCATAGTCTGAGTGAGCTCTGTCCAGTAAGACCCTATTAAAAATAAGGCAGGAAACATGTATGTAAAATAGCTAGTCAACATTTGTTTAAAATTGTTTTTCTTTCTCCCAACTCCAAAAAGCCATCTCCTACTGAATATTTAAATTTGATTATTGCAATATTTGGCTATAATTTCAATATCTAATAAAGGTTCTTTCTTTTATATTATAATGATATGATTAAATAAGGGAGTACTCCATATCAAGGAATACGGTAAATATTTCATAACAGTAGGAGTTGTAACAGTTCTAAGGGTTGGTAGATCAGTTTGTTACTTATAAAATATGAAAGTACCTTTCTTTTCAAATTCCTTTTAAATTGAAGATTTTTACTTCCATTACAAAGCACCAAAATACTTTGTAAAATGTTGCTAACATACTTGTTCTCATATTTAAGTAAAGATTCCTTTTGTTTTTTGGGGGAGGAGAGAGCCAGAGGAGGTAGGAGAAAAGCATTAAAAGGTATGTGTTACTTGGGATATATTGTACCATTAAAATTTCTAATGGATAAAATATTTGAGATGTTACTAATATAAACTTTATAAATGGCCTTAACCATTAATTTATCATAAATCATACCCTTAAACTTCTTCTTGAAAGTACCTTATTACCTATTTTGCCTTTTAATATTTTTCACATTTTATTTGAAAGCTTTCTTTTTTTTGCTTTTATGCATTCTGCAATTCTTTCCCTCCTTCCATACATCTTCGCATACAAAGGCATAGAGTATGAAGGAATTCTATCAGGTTTAAATAAAGGAAGAAAAGCAACTAGATCATGACTATCTGGGATGCCAAGATCAGGTCATACATGGAACATGGAGTCTTTTCACTGATAAGTTAAACAACCCAGTACACTATATATGACACTTCTTAGTCTATTTAATCCTTTTTTTTTCATTATCTTCTAGAATTCCCGAAACATTTGTAGTTTCTTTAACTTAATACAATTTATACAATCATAATTTACTCTTGTTTTTATCTTGTACCTTTTATCAGAATTGTATCATGCATTAAAAGCTATATAAGAACCAGGAAGGCAAAGTATTTCAAACAAAATATCAGTCAAGAACAGCAAATGGGAACAAATGAGCTACACTAACCTGCACTTGAAATTTTAAATTCAACTACTGTACTTTCTAAAATGTCTTTATGTTTAGAATACAAAAATACCTTACCTTCCACCGCGCCCAACCCGTCTTCGTGCAAATCCAATACACCTTTGGGGTACGGTGAGGGTAGTTAAGCAGTATCTGTATCGTACATCTCCTAATCCTCCGTCCTTAGGACTAGTCCAAGGCCAGTTGCCAGTCTGGTCTAAGTGAGGCTTAAAAAAAAAAAAAAATTATCTTATTTGGTCAGTTAAAGGTAAACAGTTTGCTATTTAAAAAAAAAAAGCCCGAAACTTACAGCATAGTACTGACAGCCTGCTTTCCTATGGAAAGCAAATGGACCATCAGGATCATTCTCTTCCTCAGCTTCCGAAGAACCAGACAAAACCTTTAAGTAAAATGCAATGAGTAAAAAACATTGACTTCCTACATTTCTCCTCTATATTAATAGAAAAATTATTAAATTTACCTGGGAAAGAGGTTCTTCATCTGAGCTGGGGAAATCATACTGATTTAAATCTTTAGCATTAAAGACTGGCAGTGCAGCAGGACTTGTCTGTTGAGGAGCAGCAGCAGTAGATGATGGTAAGACTTTGGGCTTCTTTTCATATTTACGTTTAGGTCGGATAAGATCGGCTTTATCTTGCTGCAATAAAGTAATGCGTTACTCAAACAACAGGAAACTATGTTCAACCAACACGCAGTTTTGGAGAAGTTTTTACTACTATAATGAAGGCATTCATAATCATAGGAAGATATAAGACTCTTACGTTTTGTCACCTTACATTGTCAAGTCTTAGAATCTGGTTGATCTTTATAAAACATGAATATGTTCCTACAACCTAAACACAATCTGATGAAGTATTTTGTTCCAATTAAAGTAAGGAAAAGAATAAAAATGCTCCAGCTTCTGAAACCCTGTAACTGCAATTAGCATTTACCGCTGGCTCCTGTTTCTTTTCCTTAATTTCCTATAAAAATACTAGAAGAGAATTAAAAAAGGGGGAGGGGAGATAACTAGTTTTTATTCTAAAAATTAACAAATCAATATGGGAAAAATATAACAAAAAAATTTACATATACATAGAGCAGACTTCAGATTACTGCTAACATAGTGGAAAAGAAAGCCATAATACTAAGGTGCTAAGAAAATAAAGAGTAGTAAAGAGTTACTACTAGCTAAATAATGAAATCATTCGGGAGTGGTAAATTTTGAGCAGTTTTAAAGGATAAAGATATGAAATCATTAAACAGGGGAAACACAGGATAAAATACACAGGTAAGAGTTCGTGAGCTGATGAACAAAGGGCATGTTAGAAATATGTCTGGCAGGGATAGCAGAAGCTAGGAGAGACATGAATTGGATGTGTAGGAAAAAGGAAATTAAGATTAGAGGCAAAAATGGTATTTGTTGCCAAAAAAAAATCATGGCAAGTATCATGGTTTCTTGGGAAAAGTTTATTATTATTTGCAAGCTCTACTGTTGTATCAGGAGGCCAGTCTTGAATCAAAAGCAGGCTTTGCATCATATTTCATAGTAGGATATAGTATTTTTTTCTGATTCTAATGATAAAATACCACTCCATTATCAGCTACTATAATCACAAAACTTTGTATCACCTTATTAACTTTAAACTCCTTCACATCCACTGCTTCCTGGTGTTTAAATTGACTGCTGTTAGTGATAGGGATGATGGGGATGGCATAAGCAGGTTTCACTGGCTGTCTCTGTGCCATGACCTCAGACATAATCTCTCCATTGTAGTCACCCAAATTATACCTGAAATTATAAAAAAGAAAGTTTAAAAAGTTTGTTCTGTAAGTACTTGCCCTTCTATTATAATAATAACAACTGAGATATAATTGATATAATTATAAGCATTGATTAGACTTGGTAAAATTAAACTTTGATTTGCTGAATGTTCATTAACATGGGAGATTATATAATTCCTTTTGTTTCTTCCTTTTACTGTTTGGCTTACAGCTTTATCTTAGCACCATAGAAGACTGTGGGTAAAAAAAACCCAAAAGCTCAAAGAAAAAAATTTTTTAAATTTTTATTTATTGATTTAAGAGAGAAAGGGAGAAAGGAACATCTATTGGTTGTTCCACTTATTTATGCATTCATTGGTTGATTCTTGTATGTGCCCAGGGATCGAATCCACAACCCTATCCTATCAGGATGATGCTCCAACTAACTGAGCCTACCCAGCCAGGGCACAAAGATGCAAATTTTAACTTAGTAGTTTGGTGAAAGATTTGGTAGAAATGTTAAAGTTAATGCCTAAGATGAAGAACTTTCAGCTAATTTGAATTGCCTGTGTTAAATATAAAACTAATTTTTCTAAACCGAATCACAAGAAATTCAACAGCAGTTTTCTTTGGAGATAGGGACTAGGAAATAGGTGAGTAAGGCTTAAAGTTTTCACTGTGTGTTTTGCTGGATGGTTATTTGAATATTAGGATTATGGACCTTATCCTTTCTTATTTATGTCTTTTTAAATCAGTACATTTTAGTAAATAAAACAAAAAGTTTAAACTGACAAATGTTCTCTCTTATAGGTATGCACATACTCACAGAAGGACAAAAAAAAAAATTCAAAATGGAAATACCTGGCACATTTTAATTTTACTGAATACAATAACTTTAAAAGAAAATAAAGAGAGGAACACATGTAAAATTATACAAAGTATATTAAAACACACATTTAAATAGCCTCTAATTATTATTAAAAGAAGACATCTCTGGACTTATAAATAACTGCTTAGGAAATAAATTAACTCAGTATACAAAATGCTTATAGTACCATACTTCCTGCTGCTATTAAAATAGACTTTACCTCTTTTCCATAATTTCCAGTGTTAAGTGCAATAGCTCCCTTTTACTCTTTTCTCTTCTTTTTATCATCTCTAGTATAGTAACAGCCCGACTTAGATCTCGACGCAGCTTAAGCATTTTTTCGTAAGAGGCTTCATCGTTTTTGCGATTCTGCAAATATAAAGGTCCTTATTTAATGTCAATAAGCATTTCTAGCTAGTCGCATTCTGAACATAGCTATTGATATATATAGATATACATTTGAAGCGTTAAGAGAGAATTTTAAAACACTGAAAAGGGCATGGATCTCCAGGAAATCGAATTTGTATATGATTTTAAACGGATAAACATTAAAATATACCAACAGCTCCATAATGAACCCTAAGGCCAAATTATTTTAAATTAGTATTTTTCATTATATTGCATAGAAAGTCTATTTAAACACAAATTAAAACACAACCTCCAGATACTGAGACATTCATAACTATAAATAGTTTTTCTTACATCAAAACATGTAAAAAATTTCTCAAATTCACTTACTTTTCGAGTCTGCATTTTTTCAGTTCGTCTTCTAAAAGCCACATAAGGATCATTTGTGCTAGAACCATCTCGCTTTTCTTGTTTTACTGATGGGATAAGAGATGGCCCTCGACAGTTTTTTCTCTTTTTAATCCAGTATTCATAAACTTCTCTAATTAATTCATCATCTTCTTTTAGCAGTAATTTGGCTTCCTGCAGACTGACTGGCTAAATGTAAAATTATTATGTCATTTTCATATAATATAAATATACAAGCTTCAAAGTTAATTTCAAATTTAAATGACAACAAAAACAACAACCGTGTTTACAATAGCAAACACAGAGTACCTTACATATTAGTCATTGAGCTAGATGTTTTATACACATTATTTCATTTTTACAACAATCCTATGATATTTATCACATCTATTTTACAGATAAGAACATTGAGGCACAGAGAAATATAAACATACTGCTCAAAACTCTACAGGTTATAATAGGCAGAGATAGGATATGACTTTATGCTTACTAACTCCAGAGCCTGCTCACTTAGCTCTCCCCAACATTATACTAATAGCATATAAATGTAGACACACCACACACACACACACACACACACACACACACACACACACATCATATATTTAAGGAAGTTGTACCTGCTGACCACTCCCTTTTTCTAGACGATCAATCATCTCCTCAAACTGCAATGGGCAGATGTCCATTTTCTTTTTTAGTTTATTCACAAATACTTCATCTTCAGAATCCAGATCATAGTCAGGCTGTTCAGCATCCAAACTAAAAGCTGACAGAAGAAGCCATAAGCAATCATTTATTGTGTGACTTCACTTAAACCCTTTCATAGTTGACTAGACAAAAACAAGACCTATACTTTCTAAAGAAATAAGATTTTCTTTGAATTTTGTTTTCAGACACTCAATCTATAGATGTTTCCTACACTTAAAGTTTAAGAAATGAAATTACCTTTACTGTTAATATATATTATAAAAGACGATATAACTCCATCCTCAAAAGCAAATAAACTAGGAACCCATTATTAAAAATATAGATATTAAATGTATTGATTAGACTATATGAAAGTTTTATAGCTCATAAAATTTGACTAAATAGCAATGATTTCATATGGTTTGACATAACATAAAAAGATATTTTTAAATAAGATTGTTTCTAATTTATAAATTATTTAACTTCTTTACCAAAAGTTTAGGGTGTGGTATTTAAAGCTGAAGTGTGAGAAGCCACTGCCAACAAGTAATAGTTTTCACTCAGTGAGTGAATTCCTCGCTAAGGAGGTTTGTTCCCTCATGACACTCACTGTCATAGTGCTAGAAATGTGAGGTGTTTCTTGTATTTGTCAAGATTTGTAAAAAGAAGCAAGAACACCCACTCTATATTATCAAATGCCATATAATTACGGTACTTATCAAAATGAGGCAAGGTTGGCCATAATGTAACTAAAATATTAATTTCTCACAGATTTACCTTGCTCAATTCCTCTTACTAACTTCCCATCACCTTAGAATCCAAATTCTTTTTAAAAAAAAAATATATTTTATTGATTTTTTTACAGAGAGGAAGGGAGAGATAGAGAGCTAGAAACATCGATGAGAGAGAAACATCAACCAGCCACCTCCTGCACGCCCCCCACCGGGGAGGTGCCCGCAACCAATGTACATGCCCCTGACCGGAATCGAACCTGGGACCTTTCAGTCCGCTGACTGATGCTCTACCACTGAGCCAAACCGGCTTCGGCAGAATCCAAATTCTTACAATTACATATATAAGGCCCTTCTTGATCTACTCTGTCCAGTCTCATCCGTACTTTATGACCTAGCAATATAAAAATTCGTATTTTATACAGAAAGTTATTTCATGTCTTCAGGCCTTTACATTAACTATTTCTTACCTGCTCACCTAGCAAATGATTATTTATTCTTTCTAAAACTCAACTTGACATCAACTCCTGTTAAGTCTAGCATAGGGAATATAGTCAATAATACAAAGTGGGGCAAAAGTAGGCTTACAGCTGTGAAGACCTAAAACAAGAGTTTACTCTTGTATTAATTATTGTATGTTTACCTATACAAACTGTAAACCTACCTTTGCCATCCCCTGTATTGTAATATCTACCTATGTATGTATGGTATTGTGGGATTGCTGTGTAACTTGTGTAAATTCTAACCATTATACTGTACACCTGAAACTAATATAAAATATTGAATGTCAACTATAATAAAATAAAAAATAATTGAATATACTATTTTGTTTCATTTTCTATATTGACCTATATCACACTTCTATGACATTCCCAATTTCCTAATTAAATATTAACACTCATTCATAAAAATCTGTTAAAATCTTTGCACTCATTTCTTTTTGTTGTTGTTGTTTATTAATCTTTATTGTTGAGATTACAGATGCCTCTCTTTTATCCCCCTGTAGCTCCTCTCTACCTGGTTGTCACCCCATCCCAGACCCTCGCCACCCTATTGTCTGTGTCCATAGGTAATGCATAATTCTAAGATCTTTGCTAATCTCTTCCTGCACCCTCCATGCCACCTTCCCTCTGAGAATCATCAGTCTGTTCCATTTTCATGCCTAATTCTATTCCATTCACCAGTTTATTCTGTTCATCATATTTTTTATTTATTTGATTTTTAGATTCAATTGGTGATACGTATTTGTTCTCACTGTTATTCATATTTTTATCTTTACATCTTTCTTCTTCCTTTTCTTAAAGAATACCCTTCAGCATTTCATATAATACTACTGGTTGTGATGAACCCCTTTAGCTTTTTCTTGTCTGTGAAGCTCTTTATCTGATCTGTAACTCTAAATGATAGCTTTGCTGGGTAGAGTAATCTTGGTTGTAGATTCTTGCTATTCATCACTTTGAATATTTCTTGCCACTCCCTTCTGGCCTGCATAATAGTTTCTGTTGAGAAATCAGCTAACGGTTGTATGGGTAATTCCTTGTATGTAACTAACTGTTTTTCTCTTGCTACTTTTAAGATTCTCTCTTTGGCTCTAACCAGTTTGGCTCAGTGGCTAGAGAATTGGCCTGCAGACTCAAGGGTCCCAGGTTCAATTCTAGTCAAGGGCATATACCTCGGTTGCAGGCACATACCCAATAGGGAGTGTGCAGGAGGCAGATGATCGATGTTTTTCTCTCATCGATCTTTCTAACTCTCTATCCCTTTCCCTTCCTCTATGTAAAAAATCAATAGGATATAATTTTAAAAAAAGATTCTCTCTTTGTATTTTGCTCCTGGCATTTTAATTATGATGTGTCTTGGTGTGGTCCTCTTTGGGGTTCTCTGTGCTTCATGGACTTGTAAGTCTATTTCTTTCACCAGGTAGGGAAAGTTTTCTGTCATTATTTCTCCAAATAGGTTTTCAGTATCTTGCTCTCTCAGTATATGCTTAATTATTTCTTGCAACTATAGGTCCTCCAATTATTTTCTCTGACCTCTTTCTGTCTGTTACTGCTATGGAAACAGAGCTTTTAGAGATCTCAAAATGGATTAAAACATTGACTGCTGGATTAAAATCACTTCTTTTTCTCGTTACTAACAAAGATAATCCATATTTGGTTGTTCCACATGTGACTAATTGGATTTCAATGAACTAAATTAAAATTTAGTATCTCGGACACATTAGCCACATTTCAAGCCACAATAGCAACACGTGCCGAGTGATGTACCAGATGGCATAGATTATAGAACATTTCCCTCATTATTAAAAATTCCATTAAAGAGTGGTGATCTAAATAATCCAGAAAACCAAACTGGGACCATCTAGCAATGTTCTGCCTTCATAACGGCATATTTTTAGGGTCTCATTTACACATTACTTCTGCATCCTCCAATATAAAATTTATTTTTACTTAGATCAAATCACATTAACAAAACTTAATTAATTGTAAAAACTAAACAAACTCACCTAATACCAACATTCTTTTGCATTATCAAAATACATCTGATATACTTCTGGCATACATTACATCATCAATGACAAGTCATGTCCAACATATCTTGAAACAGAATTAACACTGGAAAGGAAAATTTCTATCCTAGGGATATCAGCTTGTTTCCCAGTAAAATTAACAAGTATGTGAGAGTCAAATTGCTACTGCCTTTGTAAGAAGCTATTCTTTTAGTTTGTACAAATATATCTAAGATCTTAAAATATGAAGAGCAAATTCTTATTCAGGTATAAAATATTAAAACTCTAGAGAAAATCTAAAATGAAAAAATTCACTTTAGGATTTCATTTGACCAAAATAAATTCACAGGCAATGATTACAGTATAATTTAGCTCCAGCCAAGATTGCAATTCTGACAGCTCAACTACAGCTAAAAACAAAAACAAATTGACCGTCACTTCACAACACATACCAGCCAATCAGAAGTGAGTATGCAAATTAGCCCAACAAAGATGGCAGTGGCCCTGCCCCCCAGCTGCTCTGGGCACCAAGCATGCAGGTGCAGAGCAGCCGAGCAGGGCAGGACGCCTGCTATGAGGGGGTGAGCGGGGAGGTGCAGGGAGCTACTGAAGCAGAACTCCAGTTGGAGCTAAAACAGAAGGCGGCAGCCAGAGCGAAACCTGGGTCCCGGGTGCCGGAGGAAAACTGGTTCCAGCAGCCAGGGGAAGGAAGGCCTATTGCACGAATCTTCATGCAATAGGCCTCGAGGGTAATTAATCATGATCCCAGAAATAGGACTATCTTCTAATTTTCGGGGCCATGTTATTGAGTATGTTCAAAATAGAAAACAGGGTATAAAGAGAATCAGGCAAACAGGTTGTCTTTTCTAATTAAGTTCTGCCAATTAAAATAGAGATTGAGCTAGTCAATAATTATTAAACAATTGGAACCATACTGTAGAAAATGACTCCTTTAAAAGGTATTGGATAAGGACAAACACAGATATGTGTATGGTTAAACAAAATATAATGTACAGAGGGAAAAATGCTATAGACCATGAAGCTAGCAAAAGGAAGGCCCCCCCACCCCGTGTGTGTGTTGTGTGTGTGTGTGTGTTTATATATAAATTATTTTAAAAAATTTTAAATATATTTTATTGAATTTTTACAGAGAGGAAGGGAGAGGGTCAGAGAGCTAGAAACGTAGATGAGAGAGGATCATCGACCAGCTGCCTCCTGCACACCCCCTACTGGGGATGTGCCCACAACCAATGCATATGCCCTTGACCAGAATCGAATCCGGGACCTCTCAGTCCACAGGCTGACGCTCTATCCACTGAGCTAAACTGGTTTTGGCTATATATAAATTATTTTAAAATAGAGTGACACAAACCATGGTACTTGCCCTCAGACTTAAGAGTCCAGTGATAGAGATCAAATGTATATGAATGTCTATGTAACAAATGCCATTTTGTGGTTCAGACTAAATGTGTATGGGAGAGTATCTCTATAACTCCAAGTAGTGTAAAATATATTTATATCAATTATATATATATATATATATATATATATATATATATATATATATATATATATATAATTGATTTTAGAGAAGAAGGAAGAGGGAGAGAATCATTGATTGATTGCCTACTGCAAGCCCCCTACTGGGGACTGAGCCCACAACTCAGGTATATGCTCTTTGCCAGAATTGAATCTGGGGCCCTTCAGTCAACAGGCTGACACTCTATCCATTAAGCCAACCAGCTAGCACTCCAAGTAGTATTTTTAAAATATAAAAAGAAAATAGTGAAATGAAATGGCACAAAATGTAGATTAGGAACAAAATATAATCCCTGACTG